AGAAATAAAATGACATATTGCTTTGGGGAAATCTGATGCAAAAAATCTCTGTAAAGTATTAAAAAGCAAAGATGTCACTTTGAAGACTAAGATGTGCCTGACCCAACCAATGTTATTTTCAACTGCCTCATACATATGTGAAAGCTAGACAATAAACAAGGAAGACTGAGAAAGAATTGATGACTTTTACAGTGTTGGTGAAGAATAAATATTATAACATGTATCCCAGAAGAACAAACAAATCTATCTTGGAAGAAGGCCAGATTGCTCCTTAGAAGAAAGGATGGTGAGACTTCATCTCATGTACTTTGGACATGTTATCAGGAAGAACCAGTTCCTGGAGAAGGGACATCATGCTTGTTAAAGTAGAGGGTCATCAAAAAAGAGGAAGATCCTCAGTGAGATGGTATGACACAGCGGCTGCAAAAGTGAGCTCAAACAGCAATCGTGAGGATGGCACAGGACCAGGCAGTGTTTTGTTCTGTTCTAGTAGAGTCACAATGAGTCAGAACCAATTCGACAGCACCTAACAACAGTATATTATGTTTTAAAATCAGGAAATGTGAATCCTATTTTGTACTTCCGTTTTAACATTGTTTTAGCTATTTAAGGCCTTCTGTCATTCCACATAAATCTGAAGATTTTTTTTTCTATTTCTGTAAAGAAGGTTGGAAAAAAATCAGCTGACCATAGATGTATAAGTTTATTTCTGAACTCTCAATTCTATTCCACTGGAATTTTTATTGTGATTGCATTAAATCTATAGATCACTTTGGTAGTAGTGATATCTTAACAATATTAAGTCTTTCAATCCATGGACATGGAACATCTTTCTATTTATGTAAGTCTTCCTTAATTTCTTTCAGCTGTGTTTTACAGTGTCATCATAGAATTTCTTCACATCCCTGTTTCGGTTTATTTCTGGTTATTTTATTTGCTTACATGCTGCTGTAAATGGAATTGTTTCCCTAGTCTCATATTTCTCATGGGTGGTGTATACAAATCCAACTGCTTTTTGTTTGTTGATCTTGTACCCTGCAACTTTGCCAAATTCCACTATTAGCGCCGCAAGTTTTCTTGTGGAGTCTTTGGTACTCATATCATCCACTAAAAGAGAGAATTTTATTTTTTATTTTCCAATCTGGATATTTTTTCTTTCTTTTTCTCGTCTTGTGCTCTGGCTAGGACTTATATAATATTGAATAGAAGTGGTGATAGCAGGCATCCTTGTTTTGTTCCTCACTTCAAGAGAAAATCTATCAGTCTTTCTCCATTAAGTATAATGTTGGCTGTTGGCTTTTCATTTATGTCCTGAATCATACTGAGGAATTTCCCTTCTTTTCCAAATATCTTTTAGGTTTCACCAAGAAATTTTATTAAATGCTTTTTCTGCATCCATAGAGATGATCATGTGGTTCTTTTCCTCTGTTCTACTGATGTGATGTATTACATTGATTAATTTTCTAAAGCTGCAGCATCCCTGAATTCCAGGAATAAATCCCACTTGGTCATAGTGTATGATTCTTTTAACATGTTACTGGATTCTGTTCAACAGTATTTTGTTGAGGATTTTTGCATCTCTATTCATAACAGATATTGGCCTGTAGCTTTCTTATGGTGTCCTTGTCTAGTTTGGGGATCAGGGTTATGTTTATTTCAGAAAATCAATTAGGGGGTACTCTTTCCTTCTCTGTCTTCTAGAAGAGTTTAAACAGGACTGTAAATCACTTAAATTTTTAGGGTAAATTTTTCACAACGAAGTTTTGAAGCTTTGTAATTTTGTATAAATGTAAATCCCCAAAATACTAGGTATGTTCATGTTTCAGTAAAAGCACAAATAGAATGATCAACCTAAATATAATTTTAGATTATGTCTATTTGGCTTTTCTCCAATACTGTGAATATCAACTTTGTTAGTAAAGGAATTTAAATCTTCAGTGTAATAATGAGAATAAATATTTCTGAGATATTATTTGACTGTTTTTCATTAACTTCCACTAGCTATCACTCTTACTCACTCACTGCTGTCAAGTCGGTCCCGACTCATAGCAACCCCTCCTTGGGTTTCTGAGGCAGTATCCCTACAGAAGCAGACTGCCCAGTCTTCCTTCTGCTAACTATAAAATCAATTATTGCTTCATGACTACCACTGAGTTTATTTGTACTTTTGTAAGGTCTTGGCTGACAACATTTACCATATATACTGGCAGCTCTGAATTAATGTTACAATTTTAATCTCTCTGCATCAACACTGATATTAATTCCAAATTCCAGAAAAAACTGCCATGATCAACAAGAGTGAGTGAGTAAATAGCAATAAGGGCTACATAAAAAAATGTATCTATATTCAAATCTAGTAAAAAACAAATCTGAATACAACCTTGTAATTACTACTTTATGATTTTTAAAGGAAATGTTTTAATTTTCAAAAATGCTTCTACTTGTAAGGTGCATTAAATATAAAACTGCCAAAGTAAACATTACTTTATGGAAGTTTCAACTGAAGCTGAAGAAACTTGAAAAAAGTCCACAAGAACCAAAATACAACCTTGAGTAAAGCCCACCTGAATTTAGAAACCATCTGAAGAACAGATTTGACACACTGAACACCAATGACTGAAGACTAGTCAAGTTGTGGCATGACATCAAGGACATCATACATGAAGAAAGCAAAAGGTCTTTAAAAATACCAAAATGGATGTCAGAAGAGACTCTGAAACTTGCTCCTGAAAGTAGAGTAGCTAAAGTAAATGAAAGAAATGTTGAAGTAAAACAGATGAGCAGGAGATTTTGAAGGGCAGCTCGAGAAGACAAAGTGAAGAATTAAAATGAAATGAGCAAACACCTGGAGTTCAGAAAGGGAAGAACACATTCAGCATTTCTCAAGCTGAAAGAACAGAAGAAAAAAGCCTTGAGCTATAATACTGAAGGATTCTAAGGGAAAAATATTGAATGATGCAGGAAGCACCAAATGAAGATGGGAGGAATATACAGTCACTGTACCAAAAAGAACTGGTTGACATTCAACCTTTTCAGGAGGCAGCATATAATCAAGAACCAATGGTACTGAAGGAAGAAGTCCAAGCTGTACTGCAGGCACTGGTGAAAAGCTAGGCTCCAGGAACTAATGGAATACCTACTGAGATGTTTCAACAAACAGATGCAAGGCTAGAAGTGCGCCCCCATTTATGCCAAGAAATTCAGTTACCTGATCAAACGATTGAAAGAGTTCCATAACTGTGCCCATTCCAAAGAACTAACAGAATGTGTAAAATACTGAATATCATTGATAGTACACACAAGTAAAATTTTGCTGAAAGTAATTCAAAAACGGCTGTAGCAGTGTATCAGCAGGGAACTGTCAGAAATTCAAGCCAGATTCAGAAGAAGACACTGAACGAGGGATATTATTGCTGATGTCAGATAGATCTTTGCTGAGACCAAAGAATACCAGAATGATGTTTACCTGTGTTTTATTGACTATGCAAAGGCATATGACTATGTGGATCATAACAAATTATGGACAATAATGAGAAGAATGGGTTCCAGAATATTCAACTGTGCTCATGAGGAACCTGTACATAGACTAGGAGGCTGTCATTTGAACAAAACAAGGAGATACTGCACGGTTTAAAATCACGAAGGATATGCACCAGGGTTGTATCCTTTCACCATATTTATTCAATCTGTATGCTAGGCAGATAATCTAAGAAGCTGGACTACATGAAGAAGAACGTGGCATCAGGAGTAGCAGTAAACTCATTAACAACCTGTGATATACAAATGACAAAATCTTACCTGCTGAAAGTGAAGAAGACTTGAAGCACTTACTGATGAAGATTAAGAACACAGCATTTAGGATGGATTATACTTCAACAAAAAGAAAACAAAATACAATTGGACCAACAAACAACATCATGAAAAAGAGAAAAGACTGAAGTTATCAAGGAATTCATTTCATTGGATCCACAATCAACACCCATGGAAGCAGCAGGCAAGAAATCAAATGATGTATTGCATTGGGCAAATCTGCTGCAAAAGTCCTCTTCAAAGGGATAAAGAGCAAAGATGTCACTTTGAAGACTAAAGTGTACCTGACCCAAGCCTTTGTCTTTTTAATAGCCTTATATGCATATGAAAGCTGGACAATGAATAAGGAAACGACAGAAGAATTGATGCCTTTGACTTATGGTGTTGACAAAGAATAGGGAATATACCATGGACTCCCATAAGAACAGGGAACTTTGGTGGCATAGTAGTTAAAGCATTTGACTACTAACTTAAAAGGTTAACATTTGAAACCCACTTGCCACTCCATAGGAGAACGATGAGATAGTCTGTTCCAGAAAGATTTATAGCCTTGGAAACCCAATGGGGTAGTTCTTCTTTGTTCTAAGGGGTCACTATAAGTTGGAATCAACTCTATGGCAGTGGGTTTTGGTTTTTGATTTTGGCCATAAAAATGAGCAATTCTGTCTTGGAAGAAGTGCAGCCAGAATGTTCCTTAGAAGCAAGAACAGCTAGATTTCATCTTTCATAATTTGGTCATGTTACCAGGAGGGACCAATTCCTTGAGAAGGATATCTTGTTTGGTAAAGTAGACAGTCAATGAAAAAGGGGAAGCCCCTCAAAGAGATGGACTGACATCGTGGCTGCAATAATGGGCTCAAGGATGGCACAGGACAGGGTGCTGTTTCATTCTGTTACATATAGGATTGCTATGAGTTGAAACTGAATCAATGGCACCTAAAAACAACAAAGTAAAAATTATAGTTTGAGAAGTTTGTATGAGAATGTTTATAAATTATTTCTTCTGTGGTAGTATGATGTATATCACCTTAATACTTCCCAAATTCAGTGCCTTCTAAATACAGTGCTTTTTATTCAAAGAGGTCAATAGCTGGTCATATATTTCTCTACAAAGAACAAGGACAGGAAAAATAAGTCATAAATTTACTTTTTCATATATTTGTTTCATGTACTTGTATATATTCACTTACTTTAATAAGTAATGCTTCATTTGCAGCTTCAATCACTTCATTCCTGTCTTGAACTTGTTGATGCAAATTGCTTACAGTGTCCTGAGCATCTTCTAATTCCAGTTTTGCCTTCTCTAACTGTTCATTTAATTGCTGAACAGAAGTTTTTTGAGAGTCAGCAGACATCCTCCACTTTGCATGGTTTTCTTGATGTGAAAGCATCTACACAGGTCCAAAATTAGAAAAGGAAAATAAGAAATAAAATAGGGAGGAGTTAGTTTCAACAATAACCTAAGCCTTTCCACTTGCTTTTCTTAAAAGAAAGTAATTCTATGTACCATTATAAACATTTAATTTCTCAACAAATAAAATACAAGAGAAAACAGGTAGAAGGAAACTATTGTCTTAAATTTAAGAACAGTTAACCAAATCTAAATAGATTTGGATCTTGCTTTGAACAAATAAAGATATTTGAGATAATTGGGGAAAACTAAACAACTATTAGGAACTCTGGTAACATAGTGCCTAAGGCATTTGCACAGTAAACCATATGTTTGTCTAATTTAAAATGGCTAATACCAGTCCATTTCACTCACTGATGCCTAGGATATTGATCTTTATGTGTTCAGTTTCACTTTTGACAACTGTAATTTTCCTAGATTTATATTTTGTACATTCCACATTCCAATTATTAATGAATGTTTGCAGCTGTTTCTTCCCATTTTGAGTCATACCCCATCTACAAAGGAAGATCCTGAAAGCTTTATTCCATCCACATCATTAAGGCTGACCTTACTTTGAGGTGACAGTTCCTCCCCAGTCATATTTTGAGGGGCTTCTGACCTGAGGGGTTCATCTTTAGGCACTATATCAGACAATGTTTCACAGCTATTCATAAAATTTTCCAGTAATACATGAGACAGTGTTTCACTGCTATTCATATGGTTTCCACTGGCCAATTTACTCAGCAGTTGATGGCTTAGTCTGGAGGTTCCACTGAAACCTGTCTACCATGGGTCACCATGTTGATATTGGAAACACCAGTGACACAACTTCCAGCCTCACAGCAACAAACAAGCCACCACAGTATGACAAACTGGCAAATGAGTGATAGAGGATGTATTGATAGATTATGAAAAGGAAAGGATCAGGTTCTAGTAATACCTTAGTAATACCTGTCTGACCCAATATCAGAAAAAATATTGGAAATTCCAAAGCATTATAGATTCACATCACATGAAATTGCTTATCTCAGTAATTAAATATTTCTGGTTAGTTTTTGGCACATTATATTTTATAATGATGATAACGAGGAGGAGGAAAAAGAGGAGGAGGGGCCAGGCTCTAGTTTAAGAACTTTATATACATTAACTTGTTTTATCATCACCATAGTCCTATGAGATAGACAGTATTATTAAATCAGTTTTTGATAGAGAGTTTAAATTACTTGCTCAAGGTTATACAACTGATCAGTAATAAGCTGGGATTTGAAACCAGTCTGCCTGGCTCAGAATTTTAAGCCCTTAATTCCATAGTATATTAGCTCACTGGCTATGAAGAGAAAGCTATGTTTAGGCTACCAGAAATGAAGACCACTATTATGAACACTTTAAAGGTAGACTTTTGTCCACATAGGTCAATCTACTTTAGTGGGGGTTAATGGAATGTATTTATTCATTTATTTATTACCTCACGATGATAGGCTTCTTTGAGAGAGCCTACTTCTGCTGACAATTTCTTGATTTCTGCTTGCATTCTTGCTTCTAACTGAGCTTCACGTACTTGAGAAGCCCCCAATTCTTCAGCTAAATGGTTTCCACGAACTTCCTTAAAATAAAATATTGAGTAAAGGCTATATAACTTGTTTATTTAGTAATTACAGCTAAACCTATTCAATGCATAATAGAAACAATTTAAGAATTTACATTATATAAGCACAAATACAATTTTAACTTACTTTTTAAATTATATACTTTAAAATCTAGACATTTAAAGAGACTCCTAAATGGGAAAATATTCATAGATACTTGCCATCATAATATAAGTTCATTAACCAGTGTTTCCTATGGAAAAAACTTAATGACCACAGCAGGCTGAACTCTGCCAGAAAACAGTCTACATTTAGGTATGCCTGTGCACTTCTGCTCACCAGATATGTTGTTTGCTTGTCAACAATCAGTTGTATTGTTATCCAAACCTATTTATGCTAGTTGTGCTTGTAATTATGTAATTTTATTGTATATTATATATACTGATGGAATTGCACACAAAAAGAAAGCTATTTCTATATGAAAATTATATTATATGGCTTAGAATAACTTAATGAAAGTGAATCATAAAAATCCGCTACCCAATTAGAAGCACTCAAGATAGCTGTAAAATACTGTGGGAAATCTCATAAAAATTATAAGAGGTGTCATAGTCTGATTGATTCACAAATGGTTTAATTCTCCCTTTTTAAAGAAACTAAAATCAGAAACTATAGATGATGGAATGTAAACATGGTTATTTGACCTCTGAGTAGGAAGAATTCTAATCAAAGGATCCATAAACAAAGAGCCAAGGTTTTGGTCCCAAATCAAAAGACTATACATGAATGTATATTTAGAGTTTTGGGTTAAAATATAATCTTTTTAAAAATACATCACTTTTAGTAATTCCATACTGACTCATCTGTTTTTATTATCCGATAAAATTAATTAAATTAAACTTAGATACTACTGATAAGAGCAGAAATAAAAGTAAGACAGTTTTCCTTTTCCTAGTACACTCCAAGTACCCAATATATCTCTAATAAAAATTCCTTATATTCTCTTTGTTAGTTTAACCACACAGAAGCATGAATAGCAACATAGGTAAAAATATTTTACTTCAATTTCTATACTGAATTGGTACCATAATGTTGTTGTGTGCCATTTAGTCAGACCTGACCCACAGAGACCCCTCCTTGGATTTCCGAGGCAGTATCACTACGGAAGTAGATTGCCCCATCTTCCTTCCAGGGAGTGGCTGGTGGGTTGGAACCACCAGCCCTCCGGTTAGCAGTCAAGTGCCTTAGCCTAGGGAGCAGCAAATGTACTAGACCTTCTCTAGGGTACCAATAAGGATTATTTGTCTGAAAGTCTAAGTATTAACTTAAGTACACCAATCTAAATATTTTTAAGCCAAGTTGTTAACTTTCTACCAATCACTGAAGAAATAAAATTAGTATTAGTGCTCTTGCTTTTTAAAAGCACTTTACCTTCCCAGTGGTCCTAGACCACGATTTTCATAGTTACACATTTAAATTATAAGTTTTCATTTATAAGAGTGGCTATAAGTATAAAATGTTTTACTCAAAAAAACGTATTAGCAATATTTTCTTCAAGTGATACTTTAAACTCACTTAGAAGTCTAAAATGCTTTATAAATTAATTTATTGAAAACTAGTTTGGCCAAATTTCAGTTCTGAGATACTTCCTAATTACATGACAAAATTAGGCTAAATATAATGCAGGTAATTTATGCAAGAATTGTATTTCACAGTTCAAAAAAGTGAATGTTAAAATTATTAATATTTTAATAAAATTATTTAGAATAGGAATTACTTTCTCTTTAGAGAGTTGCTTTATTTCTTCCAGTTCACTTGAGAGCCTTTCTATTTCTCTCTGTCCTTGTACTTGTTGACGACGCGCCTCCACCATTTCCGTATGAGAGTTCTGCAACTGCTCCCGGGTTAGAGTCAATTCTTGCCCCAAATCAACAGTGTCCTTATATTGAGTTGCAATGTATTGTTCCTGCTCTTTAATAACCTGAAAACAAAAAGCTTATTTGTATGTTTCAAAATGCAATGTTATAACCTGTTTCTTATTCTGATTTCTCTTTTAATATGTGAACTTATCCCTCCCAACTAAACCCCTATAAAACTTATACAATGAAGTATCACCCAGTATGAAACTGATATTCAGAAAATGTTTTATACTTCTGTGAGAAGAAAATGACAAAAGTACTGTATCAATCTCGAACTCTTATTCACCTCTTTTGCATGATTTTAACATATGCAAGCTGACTAAATGATAATCCTTTATCATTTAGAATGTAATATTTATGACAGTATACATAATATAAGGGAAAAAGAAGTTAACATGTGACCATCTATGTCAAAGATGAAGAATATACTGGCAAAACCCAATAATACTTTACATAGCTAGATTAAGATCATGACCTTATTCTCTGCTAAGGTAAAACAGTCACAGAAGTTGGTTAGATGTCACAGAGGTAGGTTAGATGTTAAGTGTAAAGTGTGGAATCATCTTGTATAAAGCAATTTGGCCTTCTTCCCAGTTCTTTCAAGCTGTACCAACACCATAGGCTAATGAATGGGGGCTGACCACACCAAGTGGGACCACCTGGAGGGTGCTGACTAAGCCTCACAGAGCATGACACAAACTTATCACAGCCATGTGGTGAAGCTGGTAAGAGCCCTGAACATGGAGGTTCAGAGGGTAGCACATCTTTCTTTAGGATGTAGAAACTCCATGCTGTCATTCCTCCCAGACCTCAACCTATGCATTTCTTCATTTCTATCCTTTCTGTTTGTAATAAATTTGTAGTAAGTATGTTGAAGTCTGTGAGCTATTCCAGCAAATTACGGGACCCAAAGGAGTACTGGTGGACAGCTTGTCTGAAGTGGAGGAAGTCATGTGGATTCCTGAGCTTATGGCTAGTACCAGAAGGATAGGTGTAAGAGAAAGAAGGGTGCTGGGGTCTGAACTGAATAGAGAAGGGAAGCTGAGAGTTCCATAGGATGCAGCTAGTATGTAGTGTGGGATTATTTGTTATCTATTTGGCATCAGAAATGGGTGATTTTAATTTCCCTGCACTGGTTTGCACAGGTTATGGCACTTGAGTTCAGGGATGACAACAGTACAAATTACTAGGGCCCTGATTACTGAAACAGGCATTCAGGGTCCAACTATGTTACATATTAATACAAGTATCATGCAAATATTTTCAGTCAGTGCTTATTTAGGGAACTTGAAATGACTGGGCCAGTGACAATTCTTCTCACTGGAGTCAGAACTTAGCCTCAGAGATCCTGCTTGATTTATAAATATAATTTAACAAATATTTATTGATTTTTACTAGGTGATATGTACTGTTCCATAAATGATGAGGATACAGCAAGAACAAAGGAGACAAAGTGGCAGCCATGTGCAATTTATATTTCAGCGGGGGAGCTGGATAATCAATCCAGCAGTCAGTTAAACACATCAAAGTGCTAATTTTTTTTTTTTTTTTTGTAGGAACCTTGGTTTATTAAATAGGAAAGCAGTCCACTCAAACAGGAGAGGGAAGGGAAACGTCAAAAAACAAACAGTCCCTGTTGCAAAGCAGCCAACGGGTGCACTGCACAGCAAGCCCTTCCCAGGGTGGAAAGTGCCAGGGAGACACCGTGAGGACCACACACTAACCCGAAGGCACTGTACTTGTCAGGTCCCTGAATCTTGAACCTCACTGAACAAACGACATGGGGAAAGTGGACTGATACCCCCAGCCCCACAGCTTGTGGAATGTAAAAGGCCACACAGGTGGTTTATACAGCTCGCCACATGAGTGTCCGTGGATGGACCCTGAAGGAGACGGGATGGCGGTATGCACCAAGGGGCCTCCAGCCTAGAGCTACAGGTGCCAGAGTGACAGCCAGGCTGCAGGGGACTGCCAGGCCGGAGGAAGCACCAAGGGACAGAGAGAAGCATGAACCCCCAGGCCCGTCATCTTACCAGGGCTTACTGATTCTTGTTCTCTGCTTACTAGTCAAAGTCAACCAACCAGGATTCCTCACAATAGTGTTCCAGGGAGAGAACAGAAGGTGCGGTGACAGAACCGCTATGTCATGGTTAGTAACCTCATAGAAAACCACTGGTATTGAGGAAAAGTCCTCCAACAAAGCTTTCTTGCCTGTAAGATGGTGCAGCCCGCTGGCAGGTGCCAGGCAATCTGCGGGGCAGACCCCACACATGCCTGCCTGCACAGCAGGAAACCTGAGTGCGTGAGGATGACCATGTTGCCTAGGGTCAAGAAGTCAGCGCTGCACAACAAACATCTTTATTACGGTGAAGACCGCACATCAAAAGCTGCGGCTACGTTTCTGGACAAAGAAGCAGGGTGCTTGGGCGTCCGTGTGGCTTCAGGGCTGCTTCTCCTCTTCCTTGTCATCTTTAATCTCAGAAATTCTGTCTATGGATTTAAGGATTTCTGCAACAAGATTCAGCGTTTCAGCTCCAGACATCAGCTGCTTTATGGATGTGTGTGCACTGTTGATGACCATTCGGAGATTCTGCAAGGCCATGTCAGTGTGCTGCTTCACCACGGTCAGGCTGGCACCCTGGCCACACCGCAGGGCTTCATTCTCATGCTTGAAGTTGGAGACCTGTGCCTGGAGCAGACTGACTTCCTGTTTCAGCTTTAGGACGTTACTTTCCACCTTCACAGCCTGCTTGGTCATCAACTCCAGGCTCTGCTCCACCTGCTGGACCACAGATTCCGGGTCACGGTAGTCACGCTCCTCCTTGGACATCTTGGCTTCCAGTTTCCGTTCTAGCGTCCTCACCATTTCAGTCTGAGTTTCAGAGAAGCTCTGAACCTCACTCAGCTTAGAATTTTCATCTTTCAGTGCTTCGTAACTTATCTGCAGCGTCTGATGGTGCCTGTCTCCCAGAGACTCTCCATGGTCTACAAAGTCTGGGTTGGGACCACTCAGTGGGGATGGTGGAGGAGCCTGGGAGTCCGCGTCACTCAGAGTCCACGGGGGCAGAGACTCGGGTCCTGCCAGCTCCAACGGGTTGGAGAAAAAGGACATGTAGGTGCTGCAGGGTGATGTGCTGGCAGCAGCCCTCAGGCTATGTGACTGCTCCACCACGGACAGTAGGTAGGCCCCAGTCCAAGTGCCTTCTTCATCCTCGTCCTCATTCAGGAGGTCGCCAGCCCCCGTTGGGTCCTTGAAGAAAGGCTGTGCATGGCCATACCCGACAGTCTGGGTGCTTGGGGAGCTATATTCAAGTTCCAGAGTGTGTCTCAAGGCCTCCTTGGACTAAAGCCTACTGTTGGCTGTGTCTTTGTTGGCCAGGCCGAGGTCCTTGGCTTTAAAGGAGAAGGGGTTCACCTCCTCAGGTTCTTCTAGCTCATCACCTGGAAAGCGCATCTCATGGGCTCCTGTAGAACATCCTTAGCGTCTTTTCCCTTTCTGTAGCCAAAGTTGTCCGGAATGATGAGGCTGCAGGCTCAGGACAGTGGGGTGACGCCTGGGCAGCGCGCGTAGCCCACCATTCTCACAGGCCTGGTGGGGCTGGATCTCGCTAGCCCGGCAGCAGTGGCTCCATGGCCTCAGCCCTGCCTGGGCCGTGGCCTGGCTCGCCCGCCCAATAGCCTATAGAGCGGCTGCCAGTGAAGCTCCATCAAACTTCTCGCCGCGGCTTTTCCAAAGTGCTAAAATTTTAAAGTTGAGTGCAGTATTTAAAATAGAGCAAATGTCAAGTGACCAACACAGAAACACTAAGGAAGACATAGAGATGCACACAACAAAGATAAACCCTTTTACATATACAATACTGCATTATCAGTGATAACAAACAATAATCTATAGGTAAACAGGTAGATGGGTAGACGGGCTGAATGATCAGGTATTTCTAGGCAAAAGGGAATATACCCAGGACAATATATACGGCTGGCAGATGATATTTCTACATATGTATTTGTATATGCTGTAAGAATGTCCATATAAATAAAACTAACAGAACAAAGTTATGATAACTTCTTATGCACAGACAACCACCCTGAGTGACTTATTGGACTTGTGGGCTCAGGACCACGGTTGTGGGGGACATTAAACTCAATTGGCATAACATAGTGCTCAAAAACATTGTTCTACATCCTACTTTGGTGAGTAGCAACTGGGATGGAGTCTTAAAAGCTTGTAATCGGATAGGGGGCAAGATGGCGGACTAGGCAGAAGGATTGCACAGACCCTCTTCAACAAAGAAAAGGGAAACCAATTAACACAGACACAGAAGATAACCTTGGACCCCTGAGCCTTGAAGGAAAGGATGCAGAATTGGACTAAACCCCAACTGGCAGAAGAATTTGCGTGAAAATACCAAAAAAAAGGAG